TTAAAAACAGTTTCAATCTCTATCTATGGATATTCATTAGCTTAAAATGGTCTATGAATTATTTATCTTATCGTTATATATTCAATGTTCAGTTCGCATCACTAGTGTTCAGAATTCTGTAGTACATAAATCTGCTCATTCTATAAATATTTTTTTGTATTGTATTTGGTTTTAAAAAATAATTAAAATCACGTTTATCATACGGAAACAATTCAAAAATATTTTTAGAGTGCACCTCTAATGCTAAGTTTAAATTCGTCTGAAAATCCTTCCTTATTTAAATGTCATAAACATACAAAATTGTTTAACAGTCGTAAATTTTTTATTTCTTAAATTTATAAACATAACAGTACCAAATAAACAAACAAACTGTACATGAGTAGAAATTGCTGTTATTGTTATGGCAACCTAAATATATAATAATTTATCTGGTAAACAAATAATACTGGTAGTAAATTTTCTTTCTCTTTTGTCTAATTCTTATCAAATTATAACTCAAACTTGTTAATATATTATTATCTATTCACTTTTTTTAAAAACAAATGACTGCCAATATTAAACTTCTTCTTACAGTTTTAGAAACTCATACTATCTATAATAAAGAGGATTTTTTCTCAAATTGTGATATTGATTATCCAGTTCCTGAATCCTTTTCCCAAATATTTGGCTATACTTTTTCTGAAAAGGATATAAAGAAGCAATTAAACAACTTCAAAATGAAAAGGCGTCATTTAACAGAATTAATGGTGAAATTACCTACAATGAAAATGACAGGAAATTATCATTGTTAAATGTTTATATACTGTGTTAATCGATTTTTTTTTAGTATTATGGAAAACCAAAGTATGTATTTATCTCATGTATATTTTTTGAATTCCCTTAATTGTATTGGAGTTTTAAATACATCAAAAGCAACTATAAAAACATTACTTCCCCTAGCAGAATTTCCCCAAAACCTCTTGTAAATAGAATTTAAAAAATTTGTGATGAGATTCATATAGGATTTACTATTAAATTTAGTATTCATCTACCTTATAAAATAATTTGAATAAATAACGATAAGATAAATAATTCATAGACCATTTTAAGCTAATGAATATCCATAGATAGAGATTGAAACTGTTTTTAA